AATAGCTTTCTTTGTTTGCTATTATGATAAAATTAAAATTGATCGGCGAAAAAATTATGTGTTTAACTTGACAGTAAAGCAGATTGTCTTGGCTGCTTTAATAGACTCGGCTGCGCCTCGTCTATTAAATACCAGCGGTGGCATTAAATCTAGTACTTTACTGCATAGTTAAACAAATAACTATTAATTTGAGTGAGCTCCATGTCCCACTGGATACTTAATTGCACTAAGCTTCTGAATTTTTTATTTCATAAGTCCTCGACGTCGGCAAACACCGTGAAGTGGTCGCAGCCGTTGGCCCAAAGGGTTGAGAACAAGCGTCTTGAATGGATAATGGGCGGCTTATTTTGCATTATGCCGCTACAATAATTGAAAGTACCCACCGTCGATAGCACAACAACATACATTCTAGAAAAACTAGCACTCTACCAAATCCCCAGGCTCCGGTCGTCCTTTGTATAAACTAAACACCGTTCAGTCACATTCTGAAGAGCCTCCTTTTACCAGACCCCGCCGCATTGGTCCCGCGAAACTCCACCCTTCCGTCCGCCGACACCATTGGTGGAAACGAGAGCCGTCGAGAGCCTTGGAGAGACCCTCGAGTGAAGGGTGGCTCTTCAGCACTCTTCAGTGGCTCTCCAGAAGCTCTCTAGAGTTCGCGTGTCTGTCCACTTGAGTGTGTTGAGCGTACGGGCAGCTTCTCCGCGGACGAGACGTGTCGGTGTGTCTGTGATAAAATCATAAAAGTGGCTGAAGACAAGGACAAGTCCAGCGGCGAGGCCACCAAGATGCCGCCGGCGTCTGCCCCCGACGTGGCCGCGGGCCTGCCGTCCACCGCGACGTCGGCATCGACGGCCGCCGCGGCCTTCCTGGCGTGGCCGCCGCTGCTGCTCCATCCGTGGGCCCCGGCTCTGCTTCCTGGGGCCTGGTGTTCCTCGGCGATCAGGTCTGCTCTACCAGGGTTAGTTTTGCACCCTTGTTAGTTATTTTTATCTTATTTTTGCCATTTTTCTTAACTTTCTCCTCCCTGAAGTCAGTTCCCATTGAATTGACTATTACTGCATGCAGGAAAATCGCTAATAAGCACACTTTGATTGGAAAAATATTACAACACTTCTAATCCCTGTTTTTTTATTCATAAAGTAAAAAAAAACGAGAGAACTATACCTATTTTTTCATCAAATATCTTTTAAATAATTGTCCGATGTTCTTTGATGGGTTAAATATATTGCACTGTAAATAAATGGGTCCGAGTGAAAGCAAAAAGGTGTGGAGTGAACTTATTGAGTACATTTTCAGTCAATATTTGGGCATTATGGTAATTTTACACACTTTTGATAATATTTGAACTAAAGATGATAGTTTCACTCATAAAATTTTAGTTGTACTCATATTAAAAAAAATTCACTCAATCGGGTGTGTACAGAAATTGATACATCATTGAGTGAAACTGATTGTGAGTGAAAATAATAATAATATTGCAAAATGGAAGTATAAACAATGTTTTTTACAAACGGAAAGTGTATCAAGTTGATTTACAACACCTCCCGTGGCAAAGAGAGCAGATTAAAAATAAATACGAAAATGAATTTTTAAATTTTTCAGTTTTATTGGAAGGAATACACGCTTTGCTACTCAGTGATCTGAAATTTTTAGTATGTGTTTCAGATTTCCATTTTATTTTATCACATAAATATGTAGGTTGGTTATTCTTTAAAATGTTGAGTATAAAACTGGCAAAATGAATAGGTCTCCTCTGCCGTAGGGACGTAAATATGGAGTTATGACACTAAACTACGGAACAGTCGCAATAATTCTATATTTTTTGCAAACGGTGTTTATTTTCTTGAGAAATACAACATCAGTATAATTCAAATGAGATAAGACTAAAGATTCGGTAAGAAAATTTTGGTCTGAGGATTTAGATGCTTTTTAAAGCATTACAACTGTTTTAATGATAAGAAAGCTTTCTTACAGATAACAGTTACATGATTCGAAAAAGTCAACGATCAATCAAAGATCAGGCCAAGATTTTTAACAACATTGACTGCAGGAATATTTTCATTGTTAATTAAAACGTAAAGTTGTCCAGACCCCGCAATTGAGTTGATGTTCCAAATAGAATGTTTTGACATTTATTAGGATTAACTAATAAAGTATTTTTTATGGTCCAATCATGAATTAATTGTAAATAGTTATTAATAACTGCTATGGCAATATTTAAATTAGAAGGCTTAAAACTATAATGGAGTTGTAGATCGTCAGCGTACATATTTAGTTTACAATTCAGTGGAATTCTCGACAAATCTGCTGTAAATATGTTAAACAAAAGTGGTCCTAATATGGATCCCTGAGAAACACTAGATCCATATGATTATGTTAATAGTCGGGAATCTGTATTTAATCTAGCGAAAATAAGTCAAATTTTTCTTACAGTGTGGAAACTAATAACCAATAATTAATAGGTATATGTATTATAAATAATAAGGATAAAAAAAATCATACAAGTTTCCCATAATTACTAGATTTCAAGGGTATTTTTTGTTTGGTTTTGGGTATTATCTATTCATTTTCGTAAATTTTGTTTGGAATCGATAAAAAAATTTAAAAAAATGTAAAACAAATATTGGTGGGTAGAGACTCCATTTCCTAAGCAAGTACACTGTAAATAAATCGGTCTGAGTCAAAGCAAAAAGGTCTTCTATTGACTGAAATTATTGAGTATCTAGAAAGTCTTCTAACGACTATTGAAGCAATGCTACTAAAACCTGATCACCCTGTATGTAAATTAATAAGTTAAAGAATGTATCTCCCTGTACAAACCTTATAAACAAATGGAAATAAGGGCGTCGCCAAGGTGGGGCAGCTACCCCTCTTTAGAAATTCGAAAAAAGTACAAACATTTTCTTAAACTAAGAAAATATTAGATTGGAAATTTTTAATAAAATAAATTATTTACTTAAACTTTAATTTTGAAAATTAATAAATACACTACTTTATTTAAAAAAAAAACAATTGTAATAAATTAGTATAAACATTTGTTGACAAAAGAACTTAAAAATATAGCTCTGGAATTTTAAATTAAATTTTTTTTATTTTTATCTATCGGAATCAGAATAAAATATTAAAAAGATTTCTAAAAAAATTGATTCACTCTACCTATTTCTACCTATAATTTATATTTCTCCCACCCTCTCTCTTATTTTGCCCCCCCCCCCTAGCCTATTGGCTGGCGATGCCCTTGCATGGAAAGTACAATAGGTAGATTGAACAAATATAAGCCAGTATTAAAACTATTAGTATTACTCGTATATAGGTAACAGCTTGCAACATAATTTGATCAAAGAAAATATAATAGATTTTTCGATGTAAATACAAAATGAAGAAACTCCTATTATGGGTAACGATTCTTTATATAAGAACACCAAGTTGTTTTAATATGATTATACACAAAATTTTCTGATAACTATACAGCCATATTTACAATCACATATCTAGTCATCATTACATCTGAAGCTCATACCATAATATCTAAAAACAGAAGAATCGAAGTGAAAAGATAATGTTTATGTTAAAATTAAGACATAAAACTCTTTTGATTTAAGTAAAAGGCCTTAGTAAAAGCTTCACAAAATTCATAACTCTCTAATATCAAGCTCTGGCATCAATACGTAATATTTTCATTAGTGAACGAATCCAAATATGTAAAATTCGTATTTTGTAAAGAAATGATATCTGTTTAAAGATATAATAATAACGATCTTTCTTCAGAAGTACATGATATTACACATATATTGAAGTCTTTTAGATTCGTACATTATTCAAGTGCATGGTAAAGAGATTAAAAGAACCCCTTTGGTTTTCGTTTAAAAATTATCCGCATTTCACACATTCCAACGAAGAGAATCGGAACTTCAATGAGAAACAGGAAACGGCTCCGCAGGCACTTACAGGCCGTACTTTTGTGAATGAAACAAGCGTGACTTGCGAAGGTGCTCGGAAAAAACCTGACAATTTTACCTTTACGGTTCCGATTCACAGGTGTCAATCGAGGTAAATCCTATGGAAACGCAAGAAGTCACGTTCGGGCAATTTAAAATACCATAAACAGGTGTCCTCTAACAGTGAAATCAACAATAAGCACTTTAAGTTGATAGGTTTACAATAATTTGCCGAAATAGGCTGGGTTCCGTTAAATGAACATGTTCCTCTTCTGACTGAATGGGTTTTGAGGGTTATTGTTTTGTAAATCGCAAGGAATGACAAAAGTCATTCATGAAATTTAACCTCAATGAAATTTTACCGAAAATGCGAATATATTTTTAAACGTTCTACAAAAAAAGACTCTTGTTTGTAAATAAAGCTAAACGTTAATGAAATGATTTTTGTTTGTCCCTGAACAAAAAAAAAGATCAGGTTTTATTTATTCGGTTTCAGTTTTTCAAAGAAGCATATACAGGAATTTTTGGGGGCTGCAATAATAGACGTTGGCGGATATTTTCTTCAAAATGTCCTGACATCCTGAAGGTCTTTTGAGAGAATTGAAAATAAATAATGATACAGGATTGCGAAATGACACTCAACAAAATTCAGAATTGGATTACTTTATATTTATTTGTGGAATTTATTCTTGTTTCGAACAAATATGTCCACAGTTGTCTGAGGGCAAACATTTGTGTTTAAAACTTTTATTTTCTATTCTTGGAAAATAATGACAAATGCAGTTGTATAAATGTTTTAACTAAGATATTTGCAAACAGTTTTCTTCATTTATTTCATGTTACTAGTCTAGAGACTAGTCAATTTTAAATATTTCTAGATTATTTTTAGTAGAACTTGAATTTTATAACAAAATGATGAATTGAAATGAATGAATGGGGAATATATCATAGATTTATTTCAATATTTCTCCTTAAAAACAAGGCTACTAACAACTAACTCTTGTGCTCACAACAAAAGTATTCCGTGTACAATATTCATCAGTTCATCCTTTGTTACAGATTGCTGGATTCCATGAAAATGACCGGAAATACTATAGGCAACCAGAGGCAGCCCGCTGGTTTTGCGATAAGCGATATTTTAGAGTTAGATAGAAACAACAGTCAAGAAATTGACCCAATATCATCGGAAACTTCAATTTACTCAACTCAAGATCTTTCATACATCCCAAGACATTGGCCCCAACTCCCAGAGCATCATGGTAAGTACTGAACGATTTTAATTGTAAAAAAAAATTGTTTCTTCATCTATGATAGGTATTATCCAAACCAAAAATTCCAAGTCACGGTGTATCTAAAATATACAGCTTAAAACTTGAATTGGTGGGGTCAAAATAAGACGATAATTTCTATTAATAAATGTTCGGAAACGTTTCGTTTTTGAGAAATAAAGTGTTGAGGTTAAAAAAATTTCACATTTTTTTAAATATTTCTGCAGATGTTTGACATAAGTGCCGAAACGTGGGTTACCTAATATTTTTTTTGTTAAGAATATAGAATATACAAATTTTGGTCATTTTTTCCAGTGCGGTGCACATAATAAATTACTAAGTCGTTTTTTTTTGTAACAAGACCCAATTGTCTCTCCCAAGAGGGTTTATTTGTACAAAACATGTAATACCTTCGTCGTTACCACCACCAAAAGCGGATCCCATCCAGGGACCCACGAGGGTACCATTCGGCACAGTTTCCGAAGACCCAATAAAACTAATGATTGGTGACCCGGATCGATGACAATTGGGGTAGATCGAATCGAATTTCAGTGGGATCCTGACACCGATTTTGCGAGGGGGATCCCATCCATTCTCTCTGTAGGCAATTACATAACGTTCAGAGATACATTAACACGCTAAATGACTAGAACAGGGGGTTGGTTCGCCGCACAAAGCAAATTTACTGCATTGGGTCACAATGCGACGGAGTCACGCCTTTCTCAGGGCAGCTGTTTGGTCTTGGGGGGCAGCTGTCCGGGTTTTTGCCACCATTCTCGGTCATTACGCCATCATTAATTTCGTAATTTAAAAAGCGGGAGATTGTTTTCCCAACGTTTTAAGAAGTCGTGATAAATTGCTGTTTTGAGTTTTTGACTTTGGCTCGTATATGGAGCGTATCAAAAAAAAAAAAACGTTGCAAGCTATAAACCCTCAGTTGTCTGTTTCGTAAATAAATATTGATAATTCTAAAAATGCAAATTGACTGTTAATTTTTTCAAAATCACGTAGGTATATTACGTCAATCAGCAACCAGAAGACACTGTAATTTTTTATCAGTGCATTTGATTCTAAATTGGCGAGATACTAGTAATTATCTAGTTATTGTATTTTTCTTTTTCAGTTTAAAATAAATTTGCACAGATTAAATAAGTCCATAGTACGTGAGAAAAGGAAAAAAGATATTTTAAATGCTATTCTGAATATAATTTTGAATTTCTTGTATTCACTATGTTTTTTTTGTATTTAAATTGTAATAAACATTGTATGTAAAACTATATTTCTTTGTCATTTTCGATTTATTCAACTGTGGTAAATCTTAGATTAAAAAAATAGTAACCCGTAAAATGGCATTAGAAATCTATTAGTGGTGATTAAACTCTGGGAGAGAACATTTGTCATTGTCGACAGAGAATAAAGAAAACCAACCTGAAACTTCTCGAAACGAACCCAAAATTATTGAAAACACATATTATGATTCCAGACCAGAACATCAAAATAATTGTACAAGATATCTCAAACTCGATGTATGGCCCTACTGTGAGGGTACAAAAAAAAATTAAATAAAATTAGGATTTGACAGAAACGACTAATGACGTCATCAATTATATTTGTTCCAGAAACATACCCAAATTTTTTTCCTGTTAACAAACACTCTTTTTTCTAATAAACTTAGAGAAATTTTTCCGTATTACTTCCCGTTTACAAGTTATAAGCAATATCGTCCTAAAAGTCTCAAAATAAATTCCACCTAAAAATCTCATTAGCGGTGGAAGGATCAAGTAGTCGTTGGAAAATAATTGAATGTTGGTTGTTTAAAGTGCATAAATGTCACAAAATACTTGTCATTACTCAATACGAACGTCAAATGTATAACTTTTGTGCTTACAAAATGTTTTCTCATTCAGAAAAAGTTGATATGTTGCTAATTTACGGCGGGTCATAAAAAAATTGAAGAAAAGCTGTAGTTATATCGAGAAAGGTACCCAGAGCGCCTCATTCCTGATCATAGAACCTTTACACGATTGGAGGCGACCTTGCTACGAAATGAAGATGCATTTTCTGTTAGGAAAAATCAAATAATTGACCGAAGGGTAAGAAACAATGTTAATACATCTAGCCTGTTACAGTATTTCGAACAAAATCAACGAAATTCTATTCGGCAGGCTAGCCAGGAATTGAATTTGGATAAATCAGCCGTTCAACGAATTTTAAAGACCAATGGGTATCATGACTACAAAATTCACAATTTGGAGTATGACGTCATTAGTCGTTTCTGTCAAATCCCAAAGATAATACTTTCGATTGAAGATGGAGCTTACCTCATCCCATTTAACACCGCGTGTCCCAAATTTTGTGTAACTGCAATTTCAACATAAATATTAATAACAATTAAGTAATATTTTTTATATGTAAAAGTATATCAATAAATATTCTGTTGTGGTTCTATTATTGTTTTGCTTCATGGAATTTTCTTATATATCATCAAAAGTTTTGAAAGTTACTGACGATTTTTTAGTATTTTTTCTATAAAATTCTAGTTAATAAAAACACCAGAATGTGGAAAAATACGCGGCTTCTGAAAACAAGTTCAATCATGCGATTTAAACACGATCTGTCTGTTTAAATATTTGTATTTTTTTCTTACACAAACAAAGCATCAGTGTCAATGATATTATACAAACAAAATAATCTGCACGGACTCATTTCATATCTAAAATAGAGAGAAAAACGTTTCGAAATAAATGTAGCAGGTATTACTATTACCAGTCGTGGACAATTTGGATGTTTGTTTTTATAAAACAAATAATAGAAATAGGAAGACAATAATCCATTGTGTTACGGTAATCCAGGTACTTTATTTGCACCCACATCAATGTATCAGTTAATCTGTTACATTAACTAAACTTAAAAAGTATTAGTAAATCATGAAGTTGGGGGGTTTAGGTGCTTAGGGATTACTAGAACACTTAAAACTAATTTGCAATGATTAGTTCATAAGATATACACGAATTTTTTCTTTATCAACCTTCCATTTCAATACGGCTGTACTAAACGTTACTAAAGTTATCGGAACGTTCAATAAAATTGACTCAATTGTGGCGCGAATAATATTCAACAGACAATAGATTCTTTGTATTATTACGGGGGATGTAGTCGTATTTTATATTATAAGAATGTAGAAGGTGATGTACATTCAAACAGCTAACAAGATTGTTAATAAACATATGGAATAATGGGCTCAGGACTGATTCCTGAGGAACACTAGAGACGAACTGTAAAACTGCACTATGAAAATCTGAGGCATACATATTGATACCAGTCGGTGCAATAGTTGGTCAGAAGCTTTGGGAAAATCAGTATAGATCACATTCACTTGCTCTTGATTGTCCAAAACCTGTGATAGGTACTGTTTAAAGTCTAAAGCATAATAAATTTGCTGCTGTACAATCATGGACAATACCGATATACTCCCAAGCTGGTTAATCTTAATATCTTACAGTCTACTGTAATATCCTTGGACATACCTGTAGATAACAGCAGTATTCTTGTTCATTTCTTGTTCTATCAGGATTAGCTTAGAAACCAAAGACAGGACGGAACTACTGCTTTGTAGACCACATTCAATTGCAATTTACAAATTTTGGTCAATATTCGCTTTACCATTCCCACTTTTCCTCGTTTCAGTTCTCCACCCTCAGGCGCAGATCAGCATTCAACCTCATCCTGCGCAGCTAAGTCCAGACAGCACCAGCCCGGCCATATCAGAGCGCTCCAGCGTTGAACCCAACGGTTTACACGACAGCAGTTTACCGCCGAATCAAAACACCTCAGCGTCGGTTTCGAACGGCCTCAGCGAAAACGAGAACGATGATGATCACGAAGATATTAAGGAGCACGACCAACAGCCGGGCGGTCACAAGAAGCGCAAGAGGAGGGTTCTCTTCTCCAAAGCGCAGACTTACGAGTTGGAAAGGCGGTTTAGGCAGCAGCGGTACTTGTCCGCGCCCGAAAGAGAGCATCTGGCCTCCATCATAAGGCTGACCCCCACCCAAGTCAAAATTTGGTTCCAGAATCATAGGTTAGTGACAGTTTCTGGTTATATAAATGTTGGGTAATCGTTCATGATCAGATAAAAACGTTCTTAAAGTTATTTAGTTATGAATATCAACCACGTTTATCTTTCCAGATACAAGACAAAGAGGGCGCAGCACGAGAAAGGCATGCACGACCAGCAAAACAACCCCCTGCCATCCCCAAGAAGAGTGGCCGTCCCCGTTTTAGTTAGGGACGGTAAGCCTTGCCTTAACGGTGGCCCCAAACCTGATGGTTTGCAGGTGCCGGGACCCATGATGATGGGATCCCATCCGGCCCCCCACCTCTTGTACGGGCAACCGAGGGTCTGGTGGTGAATATAAAAAAAATCCATCTAAGTTGTATATTTGTTACTGTTATTGCGAAATAAATTATTTACGTGTTATCAGAATAGAAATGTGTTTCTACGCAAATCTAAATCAATACGAACTTTTGGACTGAGATAATATTGATAAAGATAATTTTCCGTAATTTCTGGTTATAAAGGAGGGTTTGGCTGTATATGGAAGGCAATTAGTATGCACCTATGACGTATCACGTGTCAGATCCTGATTTGCAATAATTCGGAATTTTTGGAGGTGGCGTAGATGTGAATGACATCTAGAAACCTTTTTCGATATTGTTTTCATTAAATAAAAGACAAAAGACCTTCCCCCAGTGACAAATAACAAAGGAAATATATATGACACCACGCACTGTGACATAGTATAATGTCAATTTATTAAATCTAGTCAATTATTTTTTGTTAATTTTCTTCCTGTGCCATTTGAGCAGCATATAGCAGAGTAAAACATAAAAACGATGGTTTGTCATACGTGAATGTTTTTCGAAATATTTTGTAAATAGATAGAAGTGTATATGTGTAAATAGTTAAGTAGATTGTGTATAGAAGAATAGATAGGGTAAACAAACTTATATCGACTGTGTTATCGCACTGTTTGTTTTCCTCCTGGTGTACAAAAAATAATTTATTGAATACAAATAAAAGACATTCCATTACTAAAGCGATTTTTATTTCTCTTGCGACATTCACCGCTCTTGGAAAGAGAAAATATTCCTTCCCCCTCATACATATATCTAGTGTTCCAGTTCGAGTATCAACAGCAAAAGCTGCAGGTATACTAATGATGTTTAATGCCAATCAAATGACAAAAACTTTCCATGGTTCCAAGTGTAGTATTCTATTTCTTCCTCTTACAACTAATTCAAACACAAATTGTACGGAATTATTTCATATTTGTGAAGGAAAAAAATTAATGATTTACTTTTATATCACATTTTCATTGACAGAATCGTTGTTTTAGCTGTTTAGTATGATTTAGACTTATTATTTCTTCTCTAATAAACTATATGCATCTGAATAGTCATTCAGAAAATTATGATTTCATTCTTGTTTCCCTTCCCTTTCCTTGTTAAGTTGTTGAAGAAGAACACGTGTACTGCAAGAACAGTCTTTTTAATAAAGTAAAATACAGAAAAATCCTATCGCTTTTCTGATAAATGAAATACATTTGGCAAAATCAGGTTACAGGTATCCAAAAAATGTTCATTATTCCTCTATCAATACAATTTGAGGTGTTTGTGACAATTATGAAATCTAATACTTTAATCCTTGTTATTATCTGTACAATAAATATCGTTTTTTGAAGTAGGTAGACAACATTTTTGGTATACTGAGATACGTGTAGTAAGTATGCCTCCTACGCTTTAATCAGCATGGGGAATCTGGGTAATAGAAATTTATTAGTATTATTTACCACTTGACGATTGTAAACTTGATTGAATTATTAATACTTACGCTACAGCCGTATCTCAAGTTTTACTACCAATAATAAATGATATCACGGTACGGGAAACTGTTTTAGTTAAATTCTTTTCGAAAAACTCCCAGTGGCTTCTATGTAATTGTTTAAAGAAGATAACTATTTTTAAATACTTCGTATCCTACTTTAACAGTCTTCCAGGAATAACTTGTCCAATAATCATCATCAAACTCATGAAATATCCAAATCTGACCTAGATTGGCTGTCAAAATGATTCATTTCAGAGACAGTTACTTAACACCAAATACACATTGGGGTGAGGTAACCAGGTAAACCATTACATATTGTTTCCGACAGACACCAATTTGCAAAAGCAAAGACTGCCAGGGCGTGCCAATCGATTCCAATCCGGTGTGGTGGAGCGAAGCCTAATTCCGGGGTTGAACGAATCACTGCTGACAACTGTGTTTAACCGCCAACCGCAATCTGCAATTACCGCATCCTGAAAAGCTCAATCAACGCCAACGGTTTGATAGTTTGATGGCAAATGGAGTTCCAGATAAAGTATTTATCTCTATGAAATACTCAGATGCGAGATTTTATTGTTCTTCAATATACGAGTTGCAAATCGTTAAATTGGAATACGAAATTTTTACTTCCAACATATGACCTTGACTTTAAAGTAAAAGATTATGCAATCCAAGCGATTGTTTTGATTTCCTTACGCGAATGGTAAATCTTTGAAATCCTTTTGCGATTTCACTCTCTGTGTATTTAATTGACATCCTATGAATCCTCTTAAGACCAACATTGATCCGAATAGGCTGACCACAGCTCTACTGAGCTTGAATCTGTCTATGCTGCCGACATGATGTATTTTGGATTTAGTCGGGATTTATTTAGTCTTGATCTATCAACGTAGCTTCCAAATGATAAGTCCTTCTTAGCACAGAGACATGTTCTTGTGCAATTTATTATAGATTTCGTACTTCCATGAATTTTATACAATAATGATGTATTTTTTTTACTGGAACTTACGATTGCGATGGTGCATCGATAGTGTCATAAGATGAAATTATAGCTAAAAAAAGTGTAATATTAGATAAAGTTAACCCAGTTCTAAAAAGGTAAACAAATTGAAATTAGATGCACGAAAATCGAAGGCCACGATAGCAAGCCTACACAATATAAATAGGTTGAGTAAATACAGACAACCAGGCAACTGAAACTTGTAGCTATTAGAATTGAATGGGTTCAAGAAATTAAATATTTGGATTTGATAATCCAGAGTAAATCAGATGTAAAAAAAAACGCACCAACTAGAAAGTTTTTATGTTACTAATGAAATTCTACCTTAAATATTTTAGTCATTGTTTTCTGTAGGAAGAGTTTCATTAAGGAAATATTATACAACATACTTATATCTCAAGCAGAGTGGAGAGAACAAATAATATCAACAAGTACTTGAGGATTATTATCCCTTAAAGGATTATCTACATAGAATTAGGATAAAATAGAGATGATATAATAGATACAAATTTCCATATCTTTCATAATTTTCGAAATCATTGTCAACATCTGCCGAAGTTTGTGAAGAATTTACACAAGTTACGGATGTCTCTTCTTATAAGCAATAGCTACATTTTCCTTGGATTTTCCTTGCAATATTAAGTTTGTTAGATATAGACTCATCAACATAACTTTCTGCTACAGAGGAGCTCTTTCATCCGTTAAATTCGGCGAACAATTTTTCGAAATGTTCCCTGGATTTCGCTGGCAATAAATGGGAAATTGCTTCTTGAGCTTCTTCAAAAACAGCCACAGAACATAATTACTTTCTTGCATTTTTACTAATAATTCTAAAACGTTGTATTGCATTCGTTTTATCCACTTAAGGATATTCTTGCGTGGATAAAATGCTACTTAAAACACTCATAGAATAAATAACTATTATGCGGATTAATAGAGAAAATTATTGGATAATCATAGATTTGCCACTAAGGTTTAGGATGTAATTTTTTATTTATTGTATTACATTTGAATAAATATGTTCCTTATTCCTACATGATCACAATATAATATTTTCATCGATGCGAAAAAGGAAAAAGGTAAGTATTTATAATAACTAGTATGCCAAATGATATACTTAAAAATATACGGAGACGTAAATATTATGTCAATGATTCCAAACAAGTGTGGCTAGATGCAAAAATTGGACGACGGCCAAAGAAACGATATTATAAAACTTGTCAATATTGTTTAGAATAGAAAACTGTTCCTAACACAAATCTGGGTAATATCCCAGAATGTATAAGATAAATATTAGATCATTGCCAAAAACTAGTTATTTTAACACAATTTTAGCGGCTAATGCGATAAAGAAAGAGACTACTTTGTGAATTTATTGTATAGAATATCCGCACTATAAAATTAAAAAGTCGATTGGATTAAGGTCTGGTATATGAAAAGGACTTAGTTCGTTATTTGATAAGCATTCATAACACGGTATTTTAATAATAGTTCCGACACTCTACAGATTATTACGAAATGCGGCAATAAATATCGAAATTATAATACACCTGTGTTACATTAAAATATCTCGATGTTCAATCTGTGCCGTTCCTGTACCTGTTGGTTATTAAAAATATCTCGATACGCAATAAAAATACGCGCAGCGTGCTTTATCCGCCGAGTTATAAAACAATTTTTTTTTTGTTATTTCATGAAACGGTACGAAAATACACATTAATAATAATTTGTCCTTGTCAGAGAAAACGCTGGCTGTAAAAAGCACTCTAATACGTGTAATCGATAAAGTACATTAGACAACACATCATCATTAAAAAAATAATATAAAACACGAGTATATAAATTCTGATAGGTTAAAATCAAAATCTGATTTAGCAATTAATCTGAATAAAAAAAATCAACAAATATTTAGTTAGCCTACGGGGTGTACCAAACAAAACAGGCAAATATTCGTTAAGTTTTACGTTGATAGTATTACACACCAGTAAGATAATATTAAATAACTAAATTTATGTCAATTGTTGTTTTAGCATATGAGATTTGGTAGAAAGAGGGTGCGATTTAAATTAAAACTTTATACTTCTTTAGAAACTTCTCTTTTCATACATTTTCAAATAATTAAATATTAAATTCGTTGCTGTCTATATACTAAGGTTATCTTAAATTATCCACTTGTCGTATACATACAAGTTTTTTCGGATACTAGCCAGCCTTGAAATTGAAAAAAAAATTCATTACAGAGCCACACAAAAGAAAGTGGCATATGGTTTTCACCAAACTAATATATCCTATAGTATTTTGACTCACTGAATTTGAATTCACTGTCAGAATTGCAAGAGGTATGAGAAAAAACAACAACAAAAATATTTTTCACATTTCTCAGTATTGCTATATGTAATTGGGCTCGCTGAATCCAAATCCACCTTTAGAAATCACACAGCACCCCTCATTTTTTTACAACCTCAAAAAAAGTCGGCCAGATATCGAGGTTTGCAAGAAATGAATAGAATCATAAAAATTTGGTATGTAGAGGTTTTTAGGTTCTCTAATCACGAATTTGAATTCAGAATTGGTAAATTCAACATGGCGGATCAATATGGCGGAGGAGATTTTCGAATAATCAACAGATTAATCTCGAATTGGATCCTGGAGGGTTTTGGGGGTTGCTGATCACCAATACGAACTCAGAATTGCAAATTCAACATGGTGGATTTTGTGGATGACTGTGTCTTCAGATGGATGTTTTTTTAAAACAGGAATAAATGGACTTTGAATGTGTGGATCTTTGGATGTTAACATAACCTGACCAACTAAATCATCCACAAAAGATAGGCCTTGATGAAGCTGCGAACCTCCTCCTTCTTGAAGGAATTTTCGAAATATCGATGCACTCAGCAATATCAGGTCTGTATTAGTCTAGAAATAATAAAAATAGAAGACTCAGAAGGGCCCATTGGGGACTCTTGGTTATTTTTCAGAGACTATGAACTACGAAACCTGAATACCTTGACAACAAGAACCTGAAACCTAAACTGCAAGTTTTTTTAAATGTCGAGTATGTGTTGTATGGAAGTACAAAACAATCTTAGATTCGTTTCGACTGAAAGCATTGACGTGAGTGCATAAATGTGACTTAGAACATCTCTTATACATGGTAAAAGCAACTCATTTATAAGAAAAATTATTCCTATTCTGTGTTCAATTCATGTTTA